CGATGTTTAGGATTCTAATGATGTATCATGTCATCTGTAAGCAGTCGACACGTTTTACTTCTCCTTTCCATTGGATCCTTTATGAGTTTTCTTTGATTGCTGTGGCTAGAACTTTCAAAAACTGTGAAGAATAAAAGTGGTGAGAGTGGGCATCCTTGTCTTGTTCCTGATCTTAGATGGAATGCTTTCAGCTTTTCACCTTTGAGTATGACATCAGCTGTGGGCTTGTCATAAATGGGCTTTATTATGTTGAGGTATGTTCCGTGTATGCCCACTTTCTGGAGAGTTTTTATCATAAATGGATGTTGGATTTTATCAAAAGCTTTTTCTGTCTCTATTGAGATGATCATGTGGTTTTTACTCTTCAATTTGTTAATGTGGTGTATCGCACTGATTGATTTACAGATATTGAAAGATCCTTGCATCCCTGGAATAAATCCCACTTGGTCATGGTGTATGATCCTGTTGATGTATTGTTGGATCCAGTTTGCAGTATTTTGTTGAGGATTTTTGCATCTATATTCATCAGTGATACTGGCCTGTAATTTTCTTTTTTTGTAATATCTTTGGTTTTGGTATCAGGGTGATGGTGGCCTCATAGAGTGAGCTCAGAAGTGTTTCTTCCTCTGCAATTTTTTGGAATAGTTTCAGGAGGATAGGTGTTAACTCTTCTCTAAATGTTTGGTTACAAGTCTGTTTATATTTTCTATTTCTTCCTGGTTCAACCTTGGGAGATTGTACCTTTGTAAGAATTTGTCCCTTTCTTCTAGGTTGTCCATTTTATTGGAGTATAGTTGCTCATTTTAGTCTCTTAGGATCCTTTGTATTTCTATGGTGTTGGTTGTAACTTCTTTTTCATTTCTGATTTTATTTGGGCCCTCTCCCTTTTTTTTCTTTCATAAGTCTGGCTTTTACCTTCAGTCATCTTTTCCATTGTGTCTTTAGTCTCTACTTCATTTCTGCTCTGATGTTTGCAGTTACCACGAGGTTTTTGTATAGCAGTCTTATCTATATACGTGATAACGTTTTAAGTTGCTAATCTCTTAATTTCAAAAGCATTCTAAATACCCTGCATTTGTACTCTTCTCCCCTCACAATTACTGTTTCTGATATCATGTTTTACATCTAATTGTTCTGTGTGTCCCTTAACTGCTTATTTTGGATACAGGTGATTTTACTTTTGTCTGTTAACCTCCCTACTAGTGTGCATGTGGATGCTTTCCTGCCTTTGCTGTATGTTTGCCTTTACCAATGAGCTTTTTCATTTTGCAGTTTCCTTGTTTCTAGTTATGGCTTTTTCTTTTTTGCCTACAGGAGTTACTGTAACGTTTGTTGTAAAGCTGGCTTGGTAGTGCCAAAGTCTTTTAGCTTTTGCTTATGTCAAGATTTTGATTTCTCTATCAAATCTGAATGAGAGCCTTACTGCGTGGAGTATATTGTTTATAGATTTTTCCCTTTCATCACTTAAAATATTATAATAAAAATTTCAGAGTTTCTGCTGAAAAATCAGCTAATGGCCTCATGGGAGTTCCCTTGTATGTTATTTGTTGCTTTTTCCCTGCTGCTTTTAGTATTCTCTCTTTATCTTTGATTTTTGTCATTTTGATTACAGTGTGTTTTGGTGTGTTCCTCTGGGTTAATCCTATATAGGATTCTGTGCTTCCTGGACTTGGGTGACTGTTTCCTTTTCCAGGTCCCAGCTATTATGTCGTCAAATATTTTCTTGACCCTCTCTCTCCCTGCTCCTCTGTGACCCCTGTTATGCAAATATACATTAGTGCACTTGATGTTGTCCCAGAGGTCTTTCAAACTGTCCTCAATTTCATTCTTTTTTTCTTTTTTTGTTCAGCAGCAGTGATTTCCACTACTCTCTCTTCCAGCTCACTGATATGCTCTTCTGTATCACTTAGTCTACTGTAGAGTCCTTCTAGTGTATTTTTCATTTCAGTTACTGTATTCTTCAGCTCTGGTTGTTCTTTATATTTTCTAATGCTTTGTTGAAAACTTCTAACTTCTAGCTCTGTGCATCCATTCTCCTCCCAAGTTCTTTAATCATCTTTACTACCATTACTCTGAACTCTTTTTCGGGTAGATTACCTGTCTCCATCTCACTTAGTTCTTCTGTGTTTTTATCTTGTTCCTTTGTCTGGAGCATATTCCTCTACCACCTCATTCTGTCTAAATTGCTATCTGTATTTTTATGTATGTGGTAGGTTAGTTACATTTCTTGACCTTGGAGTGGTGGCTCTGTGGGAGACATCCTGTGTGTCCCAGCAATGCATTCCCCTCATCACCCAAGCTATGTGCTCTAGGGGTTCCCCCTAAGAGTGCTGCATGGGTCCTTCTGTTGTGGCAGGCTCTGTGGGTGGTCTGGTAGGCTTGGTTGGCCCCTAGTCTGGTTGGATGCCAGGCCCTGCCTTATGCAGATGCTGCTGGCTGCTCTTTAGTGGAGCCTGGCCATGATTTGGCAGGTTGTGGAATTTTAGGGGGTCCCAGAGGTAGTCTGGCGCACTGGTGGGCAGAGTCATGGCCCTGAAGACTCTAGGGCTATTGCCCACCCACTGGCAGATGAAGCCAGATCCTGGGGTTAGTGCTGGACCACTGGCAGGCAGAGCTGGTTCCTGGAGTCTGGCTGCAGGGTCCAGGGATCCCAGAGCTTGCTTCAGATCATTGGTGGCAAGTGCTGGTTTGGTTCCCTACACAGCTGGGTACAGGGTCTGGGGTGTCCCGAAGGTTGTGTTGGCCTGCTAGTTGGCAGGGCCAGGGCCCAGCTGGTTCCAGGGTAGGGTCTGGCCTAAGTTGTGGGATTGTAGTTTTCTTGCTTCCAGTGTCTGTTCCTTCTTGGGTGAGGCTCATTCAGAGGCTCATGCAGGCTTCCTGGGGAAGGGGACCAGTGCCTGCCCACTGGTGGGTAGAGCTGGGTCTTGGCCCTCACAGGCTGAGCCATGTCTAGGGGCATGTCTGGAGGTGGCTGTGGGCTCTTTGGTCTTTAGGCAGCCTGTCTGCTGATGGGTGGGGCTGTGTTCCACCCACTTGGTTGTTGGGCCTGAGGCTTCCCAGCACTGGATCCTATAGGCTGTTGGTTGGGGCCAGGTATTGGTGCTAATGAGCCAGTATGGCAGCTGCCAGGAGTGTTCACACAGTTGAATGTTCCCCAGTGTGTCTACCACCAGTGTCCATGTCCCCAGGGTGAGTTGTACCAGCCCCTCGCCTCTCCAGGAGACTCCAAGAACAGCAGGTAGGTCTGGCTAGGCTCCTATCAAATTATTGCTTTTGCCCTGGGTCCGAGTGGGTGCGGAATTTTGTAGGCCCCCTTTAAGAGTCGTCTCTGTTTTCCCCAGTCTTGTGATCCTGCAGTTAAACCCCCCTGGCCTTCAAAGCCAAATGCTCTGGGGGCTTATCTTCCTGGTGCTGGACCCCCAGGCTGGGGAGTCTGATGTGGAGCTCAGAACTCACTCCTGTGGGAGAACCTCTGCAATGTAATTATTCTCCAGTCTGTGGGTCGCCCACCCACCCAGGGTTGTGTGGGATCTGATTATATCATGAGTCCAACCCTCCTACTGTCTCATTTTGGTTCCTTCTTTATGTGTTTAATTGTAGAAGATATTTTCTGATAGTTTCCAGTATTTTTCATTGATGGTTGTGATTCTGGTGTGCTCGTGAAAGGAGGTGAGTTTGGGGTCTTTCTACTCCGCCATTTTGGCTGCTCTATAGGGGACTTACAACCTAGTGACGTCACACTGCTCGTGTACACTTGAATCTGTCCAAACCTGAAGCTTGTGAGTGGTAGGTTCTAGGCTGGAGGACTGGATGCTTAACGTCGGGCTCTTCTGAACACATGAGTAGATTCACAGAAGTCACCTATTCCAATAGCAATTCTTTCCAAGTCAGGGAACTTGAGCTTTGGGGGTCTGGCGTCTAACAGTTGACAATAAGGGAAGGGCACTTGGGGACTGAGCAGTGAGTGAAACACAAGTCTGCCCCATTCCAGTGAGAGCCAGAGTGGCAGACAGACAGTGAATGAAAACATATGTCAGATGGAGTCATGTATTAAGAAAGCAGGTTGGGACAGTCTGATGGAGGTGACACTGGAAGCAGATGAGGGGACAAGTCACATGCCTCCGGGAGTACCTGTATTTTAGGCAGAGGGAACAGCCAAAACAACAGGCTGTTAGAGACATAGGAGGGCAGCCAGTGTGGTCCAGCTGGAGTGAGTGAGGGGCAGTGGGGAGGAGGCCAAAGAGGCAACGGGAGTGAGACCACGGAGGGGAATTCATTCCTGCTGCCTTTTGTTTCAGACACCCAAGAATGGACATTGCTTCAGCTTCTCTGGGCTCAAGGTCTAGAAAGACCATCAAGGAACATTCTCCTTAATTCCAGTTCCAGGATAGAAAGGAACAATGTTCAAGACTATTAAGACGGCCTGGTCCTCGGGGTGGTTACCAAACTTGGTTGCATACTAGAATCACCTGAGGACCTTTTAACAATCCCGATGCCCAGGCTGTGCCCCAGACTGTGTTAATCTGAATCTGTGAAGTGTCACCCAGATATCAGTGTATTTTTAAACTCCCAGGTAATCCTAGTGTTTAGCCAAGTTTGAGGGCCACCAGCTCACATGACTGTTAAGGGGTCCTGTCTTAGGCCAGTTCTCATCACGGCCTATAAAGAAACGCGCACCACATGCTAAGTTACCTGCAATAGTTTATTTTAAGCACTGTACACTGACAAATGGGAGCAACACGTGTTGGACGGAGGTAAGGCACAGCAGGAACCGGGGTCCAGGGAAGGGAAGAGGAGTTCCTTCCCGGAAGGTAAGCCTGTCACGCAGGCTTCGTGCTTGCCCGTAGGTCTTTGTTTCCAGTTCAGGAGGTTGTTGCTTGGTGCCTGCTTCGTTTACCGGAAAAGTGCACTTGACATGAGTTTCAACTCCTTCCCCCCCAGCTTCCAGCTCTGCAGCAAACTGTTGGGAACAGATCCAGTCACCAGATACACTGTAGAGAACACTTTCAGAACATTGTTTTTGGACAAAAGGTCAGAGGCCCAGTTTTTAATTCTCTCAGAGAAACTAGAGTTTAGGAAATGTTCAGTGTAATCAAACTTTTCCCTTCTGTGCACAGACTTTCGTGGACACAGAAGTACACAAAAGAAATCTTTCTCACAGATTTGATGACTATTAGTGATAGCTTAAAACTCGACTTAAAATTTTAGTGGTTATCGGGGGAGGGTATAGCTCAGTGGTAGAGTGCATGCTTAGCATGCACGAGGTCCTGGGTTCAAGCCCCAGTACCTCCATTAAAAATAAAACCTAATTACTTCCCCCCAAAAAAGATGAAACATTAAAAAAATGTTTTAAAAAATGTTAGTGGTTTTGTGGAATAGTTAGAAAACACGAACAGCTTTTCAGAACTTGAAGTTCTCTTAATTTGAACACTGGAATGCCTGAGTGTTGAGACTGCCAACAAGTTAGGTTCACTGTAAAACAAGGAAGAAGTCACAAAGGGTCACTTTGGCCCTTGAACTAGTTATCACTTACAAGGGTTGGAGATCATGAGGAAGGGACAGAGACTACACATGGACCTTGACGAAAGGTATCTTGATAAAAGTAGCCCTAAAACCTAAATGGCAGCAACATGTAAGATGGGAAAGACAAGAGTTCTTTAGTTCAAGGCTGAGTTTCCACATGGTAAGTCTCTCACTTAATATTTTTTTAAAAGCCGTAAAACTATGGTCAGTAGTTTAGTAGGTAAAACAACAGACAGGAGAAAAGACAAAAAAACGAATGGAAGGTCAGTTTTTAACCCACACTCCCACGAGGCGGCCACCTGAGCCCCGCCCAGCCGTAAGTACCTTCCCCTACTCCTGGACGTTCTCATACAGACTGCTGATTTGAGCCCGAAAGTACTTGGAAAGCTCTCCCCGCTTTGCTTTCATGGTTGGTGTCAAGAGCCCATTTTCAATGGAAAATGGCTCTGGATGAAGAAAGATGCTTTTGACCTGGAAGAGAAGATGCACGCGTTAATTAGGGACTTGGGCTGTCCTGCAGAGCCCTCAGTGCTATGTGGAGAACCTTAATGACTAGTTCCCCTTATAAAAGTGGGGCTGATGAAGTGGGGGTAAGTGCCCAGCCCCACACACTTCCAATTCGGGAGAGAAATGAGTGGAGAAGGGGAATCCGTAGTGAGCAGCGTAAAGGGACCGTACAGGTGGCGGCAAAGGTCAGGGCCATCTGTCGTTCATGGGTTGA